TTTTTCACAATGCATCCTCATTCTCACTGTCTCAACCCAGATTATTTTACCACCATTAATTTAGACTCACTGCCCCCTTATACTTCTCATCTATATTTTAGAGTTACTATTTCCACTCTCCACCCCAAATACTTGATTATTTTAATTGTGGTTTTAATGGAACTTATGGAAAGGATGCGTTTTTGTTCATTATACATTTCCCCCCCCCCTCTCCCATTTCTCTTTGTAATGTATATCTTGTTCCAGATGGTTGTCATAAATATAATGTCTAATCATCCATTCCTATCCGATAGTATTTCCCTTCTATGCCATTGTAGTGCTTATTCATCTATTTTCCAGCTTGCTCTAGTCCCCCCACCCTTTGTTCATCCTCTTGGTCTTATGCACTGTTTGTCCTTTTGTGACTGAGATATTTGACTCAGGGTAATGTCTTCAGACTCATCCATGTTGTGTTGTGTATTTACAAATTCATATTTTTCTGTGATGGATAATATTCCATTGTGATATATCAGTTTTTCTGTCCTTGTTGACAGGCACTTGAGCTGCTTCCATCTCTTCACTGTTGTAAACATGGGTGTGCATACATCTGTGTCACAGCTCTAATTTCTTTAGCGTATATTCCTGGCAGTGGGAGAGCTGGGTCAAATGATGTTTCTATTTCCAGCTTTCTGAGAAAATAACCACATTGCCTTCCATCACCAGAAGTGAATGAGAGTTCTGGTCTATCCACATCCTCACCAGCATTTGTTGTTTGTTGTCCTGAGGAATTTTGCTGTTATTGCTGGGGAGAGATGACCTCTCATTGTTGTTTTTAATTGCATCTCTATAAGAGCTAAGAAGTTTAGATTTTGAACATTTCATCATGTGTTTATTGGCCACCTATCTGACTTTCTTTGGTGAAATGTCTGTTCTTATCTTCTGCCCATTCTGTGATTAGACTTTGTTTTTTTCCTTGTTGAAGCGCTATAATATTCTATAAATTTTAGATATGAATCCTTTATCAGCTATGTCATTGCCAAGTTTTTTTTCCCCAGTCTGTGGGCTTCCTGTTGGAGAAGTTTTATGATAATGCGTAAGGATTTGATTTTTAGGTGGTCCTATCCATCGATTTTGTTTTCTCCTTGTTACAGGGTTTTCATTATGCTTGGAAGTCTATTTGTGCTGTAGATTAGGGCTCCTAGAGTTGTTCCTAGTTTTTCTCTGATGTCTTTGGTTTTACTTCTAGGTCCCTGACCTCCTTGAGTTGATTTTGTGTAGCACCTGAAGTATGAGACTTAGAGTTATACTCATCAATTTGTTATTATATTGATAATTCTGTAAAGAAGTACAGTACTCAAGGAAACATCTTTTACCAATTAGTTAATTAAGCTAGACAGTTTGGTTTAAAGATGACTTCTGGGGATAGCTTTGAGTCAGTGTTGAAAGATTATTTCAGGGCAACAGATTTGTATCTTGGTGAGTTCGTTAGGTCTGCATTCTCTAGGAATTAGAAATTCTGTTCCACATTTCTCTCCATTTTGAGTCCAGCGTTGAGTCCTTCAATGCATTCAGTAATGCCAGCTGCATTCCAAGCATAATAGGGAAAGAAATGGAGGAGGAGGAAAACCTAGAAGATCATTGATAGACGTGATTTACCAAACCTGTAAAGACCCTTCTTGCCTCAAAATCAAGGCTGTATATTCCAGGCTGTGCAGTTAAATTGACTTTGCCCCTTATTAGATATTTTTATTCCTGCTGTACTCAAAAAACCACAGCAGTGGAGAGGGACAAGCCAGACTTCTAACAAAAGGCCCAGGCACCAGAGGCAGAGGAGTAGTAGGAACCTTCAGAAGAGGTGAAGGAACTGTCCTTGTTGCCACAACTGCTGATGACAGTTGAAAAGAGTTCCAAGTTGTGTGTCCCCAAAGCACTTGCCGGGCTACACTTGGAGGGGGAGAAGGGTGAGTGACTTGTGATGCTGGAGTATCAAAAAGGCTGTTTACTACCTTGACTTTGCTGCTAATGCAAGGACAGAGGTCTGTGGCAGCTCAGGACAGGGCACTGTTGTGTTAGGAGTAGAAATTTGACCTGGCAGTCTACTTCCTGTAGGATAATTTGTAAGGGGCAAGCCTAGAGGAGCATCTCTACTCCATAGTTTGTTCCTTGGCTCTCCATGAAGCCCTCCACTTGATGGCAGGAGATTTTTCCTGTTGGTTTATTGGTTTGCAGTTTTCTCTCCCCACTGTGAGCAAAAGGGGATGGAAAGTGGATGTCTGAAATTACTGGTCCCTGTTAAACTTCCCAGCGCCCTGTACACTGGTATATTCTCATCTCTAAAGTTGGGCAGCAGACTCAAGAGAAGCCCCTCACTTGGGCTTGTCCACCTGGTTGGGAAGGCCAGGACTTCCCTGCCTGTGTGACTTCTGTCTGGTGCTGCTTCACGTTTTCTGTGGAGTGGGAGTTGGTATTTGCTCCACTTCTATCTCCAGTTCTAGGCCCCTTTCCAGGTTCCACCTCTGTTTATCATCTTCCAAATACCACTCCCCCTGCCTCATGGGTATTTGCACAGGATTCAGATCAGGGTTTAGATCTGTTGTGCATAGGGTTGCTGTGAGGCATACTTGACTTACTGGCACTGAACAATAACAAGGAATTTAGGAGCTCAGGCTACTGGATTTCTAATAGACCATCGACCAGTGCCAGGCTCAACGAGGACATTGGGGGTTGTGCGTAACCTGCCGGGCACATGCAGGATTTTTCACTGCTAGTCTTATCTGCTTTATTGTTAATAGGGTTTCAGAGGCCTGTTATTTCAGGAGTAGATGGCTAATCCTCTTTCCTAGTCTGTCTTAATCTGGGGGTGCCACTGAAACCTGTCCACCATAGATGACCCCTCTGGGCATTTGAAACATCAGTGGCGCAGCTTCAGCATCACAGCACCCCACAAGTACAGCAAATTATCAGGCAAGTGTTGTAATAATTAGAACAATGAACAGGCAAGAATATCCAAACAACAAAGTAATTAGCAATGTGCAGGTCAGTTCCTCAACACAACAAACTGAGAGATAAGTCTCAAAGGAAGTTCCATTGCCAATTCCCAAGGACCAGTTCTAAGGGAAGGTTCTTCTCTCTGGCCATTCTGGAGAAAGGAGAGGAAGACCCTCAACCAGGTTGACATGGTGGCTTGACACAGTGACTGCAGCAATGGGCTTGAGTGCGTCAGATTGTGAGGATGGCCCAGGAAGGGATAGGGTTCACATAGGTAGTTCATTGGGTCACTGTGGTTCATACTTGACTGGACGGCACCCAACAACAGCAAGAAGAAGTAGTCCTGGTCCATAGTTGTTGGCTGCTCCTTGGAAGCAAGGTTTTGAAACTCCATCTCACATACTTTGATCATATTGCTTGGAGGGGTAGAGGATCAGCACAGGAGAGGAAGACCTGGGGTGAGATAGATTGACAGAGGGACCATGGCAATACGGGCAACATGTGTCAGAGACGATGTGGTTGGCTCCTTACAGAGCCATTGTTCATAGGGTTATTATGAGTTGTAGTCAACTAAAGAGCACATGACAACAATAAAGACAGTTCCTTCTCTCAATATTGGACTGAACTGCTTGAGCGCAGAGCCTGTCTCTTTCATGGATTTATCCCCTTTGACGTCATTAACCAGCACATGGTGATGCTTTGAGGGTTCAGGAGCCAGAGCTCATAGTCTAGATAAGGTGACACATCTACTTAAAAAGTCTAGGGAGCTTCAGTGGCCTAGAGGTAAGAAGCTGCATTGCAATCCCAAAGACCTGCGGTTCAAATCCAGCAGCTGTCTATAGGAAAGCTATTGGCAGTCTCCACCTGTGTGAATTACTGCCTCTGAAAACCTGCTGGAGAATCTGCTATGTGTTGGTTTTGACTGGATGACACAGAACAACAACAGCAATTTCGAAGTCTGCTTAAAACACTGTAGAGAGAGTAGCTATTTTTACCCCATAACTTTTCTCACATTGTTGAAATGTGGTTATCTGCATCTAATTTATCTGGGTCTCAGTGCACTGGGTCCTTCCTAAAGGATTTTGACAATTCTTCAGAAATAGGCATTACAGGTACAACCACTATGGAAGACAGTATGGCACTTTCTTGAAAAGTTGCAAATAGAGATACCATTTGACCTGGCAGTTCCACTCCTGGGAATATACCCCAAAGAGACCATAACTGCTGGCCAAGCAGATATATGTACATCCATGTTTATTTTGGCTTTGTTCACAGTAGCAGAGTTGGAAACAACCTAAGTGTCCATCAGCAAATGAATGGATAGAGAAGCTGAGGTATATTCACACAATGGAATACTATGCTGCATTGAAAAATGAGGAACTCATGAAATATTCAAAATGGGTGACCGTGGAGGACATTATGCTGAGTGAAATATCTCAGCACAAAAGGACAAATACTGCATAGTGCCCCTGTTGTAAAACGGGACTGACATCGGGGTTGGGGGGAGACTGAGAAAGATGGAATAAATAATGTATACTGCTTTGAAACAGATGAGGGAGAAAACTGCTTAAAAGGGGTATGTGATTAGGTATTACTGTCATGACAGAACAAAGGCTGTATAGTGGAGTGGACCTGGGGGTAGGGATTGTATAACAATGAAAGAATTTTTCTTTTACTTTTCAAAGAGAAGAGTGAATTGGGGGTGGGGGTTGTGCAGGGAGAAAAGTGCAACAGTGAATGAATGGAAATCCAAAGTCTCTGTAAATTTTCATTAAAATTCATAACAAAATTTTTTTTTACAAAGAAAGAGGCATTAGAGTCTCAGAGGCCCTGGGGCCCAAACAGCCCAAGACCGGAAGAGTCCAGGGTTGTGGTCATCTCCTGCCTGGGCTGGGTGGAACTGCTAGGTAGACCAGTTGTCTCTGAGGATGCACTCATGCCCTCTAAGTGGAGGGAACCTGCAGACCCCTAGGTCTGCTCAGTGCTTCCCAAGAGTGGTGTGACTTAGTCCCTCCCTCCTCCTTCCGCTGCAGGCTGGATCCTCATTGATCGATGTGGGAAGCACTTTGGTACAATACTCAACTACCTTCGTGACGGGGCCGTCCCCCTACCCGAGAGCCGCCGGGAGATCGAGGAGCTGCTGGCAGAAGCCAAATACTACCTGGTCCAGGGTCTGGTGGAAGAGTGCCAGGCAGCCCTCCAAGTAGGCATTTCCTTTTCTTTCCATGTGGGGGTAGGATGTCACACCCACCGGCCTTCCCCATTATCCCAGTCTGCACAATGGGAACAGTTCTCTCTCCACAGGGTTTTGTGAGATAGGAAGGTAACCCTGGAACTTTTCCCCTGTGGACAGAATGAGCCCTGAGAGGTCTGCCTGCATGGTCTTAGTCACCCAGACTCACAGATGATTTCAGTTACTATGGGGTTGGGTCATCTCATGGTGGATGCATTGAAGCCCTTTCATGGTCAGCCATGGACTGTAAAGCTTGATCCATTTTTTTCACCTTAAGTTGTGAAAGTTCATGTTCTTTTCTTGAGTCATTGTTGGCAAGCTAGAGTTACTTCTAAGGCCAGGCCCCCCTTCTCCCCTCTCTGGACCACAGACACTGTTCTGGAGCCTGGGACAGTAGAATTCTTAGGTTTTCACAGGATTCAGATCTGGGTGTGAGGCTCTTGTGTGTGTCTTCCCTGAAGCCACTTGTCTGTTGCCCTCCTCCTCCACAGTACCCACAACACCTGCCTGTCTCAAAAACCTGCTGTTTCCACACATTTTCTGGACCTGCGAGTCTGTGACCTCCCTGGAAATCTTACACAGCATTCACTTTTAACACTTCCTTTTATGTCTGTTTAAATTAATGTCATGCAGGCATGTCGTTTAAAAAGCCAAATAACTACTGGATGTGGGCACATACTGGTGTGCACATGTATAACACATACATACAGACATGGTCACATACTCACACACAACCTATACACACACAGTACATGTACACACGCACAACATGTACTCACATAGACATGTGCCACGCCGTGTGTACAGATTAAAGTCAGCTGGCTCTACCAAAAAAAAAAAATCAACACCACACAGTTGATGTCACAATAAATTACTAAATAAAAAGTCACATAATCCCAGAAGCACCACCATGCCTCCTGCTCCCCATCCCTACAGCAACCCCTTGCATTGCTGGGAGCAGTTTCTCCCCTTTCCTGTTTCTCTTTAACTTGCTTCCCCTGCTGTTTGTTGACTCTGCATTTATCTGTGAAAAGACATTTATCTGTTAGAGCTCCTTGCTATAGGAGGTTGGACGCTGGCACCTACACTACCACCCCTCTGCACATCACCAAACTTAAGTGTGCTTGCTCCCTTTCCACACTCTTGGTGGGATTTATCAGTGTCAGCAAATCATAGCCGGAGCTTTGCATTATGATGTGTTGGTATGGTTGACAAGTTGAGCCACAGCAGCTAGAAGGATTATTTTCTTTCTTGTGTAACTTTTGTCAGAGTTCATGTTTGCTTCTGTACCTGGTTTGCTTGGTTTTCTGAGTTCTTAGGTGCTGTGTTTGAGTTTACTGTGCGTAAGGATCCATACAGAAGGGACTCAAACGTCACCCAGACCTGCAACAGCCTCGAGATAGTTGCTGTGTTCAAGCCCATAGCTGTAGCCCCCGTTCCTTCACCAAGCATTATGTCTATCTCCAGGAACTGGTTTTTGATGTACATGTCATTTAATTCAAATACACATTGTCAGAAAGTGAAATGTCCAGTTTCCGTGTTTGGACCAATCCAGGATTCTGACTTTGACATTGGAGGTGTGCTCTCTGGGTTCATGCTGCAGTTCCTGTTCATCTGAGGTTCTTTCCTCCTGGTTTGTGACCCTTTATCTTCCTATTCTAACTTTCTCAGAGGCTTTTTTCAGCCATTCCTTGAATCTTTCTTTTCTGCTATCAAGTTTCTAATTTCCAGGAGCTTTGGCTGGGTCTCTGAATGCTCACTCTTAGAAAGCATACTGATCTTGTTTCATGGGGTGGGAGTATCTTCTCTGCCTGATTTTGTTCAAATCATCATTATCTGGTCTTTTCCCTTACTTTTCCCCTCTTTGTTCTGATTTTGGTTTCACATTTTAGAGCTTCCCCATATGTAATCTGATGACGTTGGCTCTCTTTTGATATTACAGAATAAAATCCTTATGTACATGGGCAGCCCATTAGGTTTCCTTGTTATAGGACAAGTCTGCCACTTGCACCGGGAACCCCAGATGTTGACCTTTGAGGACAAGTCCCTTCCCCCTAAGGGATCCTTCCATTTCTTCCCAGAGGGTTTACGCCTGGGTGACTGTATTCTAGGCCCTGAGGTGAGGGAAGGAGATGTGGAGAGAAGTCTCACCAATTGTGTAGACACCAGTCTTCTGTTTCCAGACTAGCACTTGGGCCCTGTCCTCTTGTGCAGATGTTTCCAGGACAGTGTACTTTCTCTGGGGTGAGGAAGGGGATCAAGTTGAGGGTCTCAGTGGGGCCATCTTCTCTCGTGTGGTCCTCATGGGGCCCTGTGCATCCAGCTCTGAGCATCTATTGAGCAAATTCTCTGCCGATATTGGTTCAGCTTCCTGTGTCCTTCGTTGTTACCTCTGATCTACTTTCCAGTCTTGAATTTGTAGCCTCTTACATCTGCTGATGCTGCTTCTCCTGTTCTTTTATGCCTTTTTTAAATTCCCCTGTGTTTATAGTGGAGCTTTTAAGAGCTCTCCAGTAAATTATGTTTCAGCTGCGTGTGTAGGGTTTGTGTGGTGGCTTCCTAAGCTGTGGGCAGTGTGTCATCACTTTGGCACACCAAGCCCAAGCCAGAGAGCAGACTTAGTGGAAAACGCAACCCCTGGCCTCCCCTTCCTAATCTGTGGGTGCTGAGATTCCTTCTCTCTTCCTGTCAGTCTCCCTGACCTCCCCTCTCAGTCTCACTTCCCCCTACAGGCAGCTTTAGAAAAGACTGTGCCTGGCAGGCCCTCAGACTGAAAGCACGTTTTTTGTTCCATCAGAACAAAGACACCTATGAGCCTTTCTGCAAAGTTCCTGTCATCACCTCATCAAAGGAAGAACAAAAGCTTATCGCAACTTCAAATAAGGTATATTTGAGATACTTTCATGGAATTTCTCTTACTGCCAAAAATGATGGAGGTTTTTGGGAGTAAGTTTTGAGAAACATTTGTAATTGCTGTGGTAGGGCCTGAGAAGAGGGTTAAGAGTGGGAACCTTTACCTCATCTTTGCTTACCCTGATGCTGGTCCTGATACAAGTCCTCCCTCTTCTGCCTCCTGGCAGGGCCCCATCCTTCAGGAAGTCAGGTTCACTGTGCCTGCAATGCCAAGTAACTCTTACTGCCCTTTCTTTAAAACCTACAGCCTGCCGTGAAATTGCTCTACAACAGAAGTAACAATAAATATTCATATACCAGGTAAGCGGGTTGCCACTCCTTAGCAGACTTCACTCAGCCCGCCAGGCCATCCTTGCTCCTTCCAGGGTGGGGTGGGCCTCCTATGCCTCACAGATGCCTCCATTTAGTTATGTAAAGGTAATTTAAGATACTAAGTTGATTTTTACATCTTGTTGTTATGTGCCATCTTAGTTGAAATATTATTATCCATATACCATAAAAAAAATTTACCCTTTTGAAAGAAATACTTCAGTAGCTCTTCAGTATACTCAGAATTATATAATTATTGACACTCCCTAATTCTACAACTCTTTGGTTATCCCTAAAAGTACCCCAGGCCCTATTAGTAGTCACTCCCCATTTCTCTAAGACTGGTCCTCCATCCTTGGGCGGCCACACATATACTCACTGTCTCTACATAGATTTGACTTGTCTGATAATCTCATATTAATGAAGTCATAGGTATGTGACATTTGGTGTCATCTTCCATTCAACATACTTTTCAAGGTTCATCCTCATTGTAGCTTAAGTCAGTACTTCATTCCTTTTGTTGTTGTTTGTTTTTATGGCTGAATAATATAATTTATTTATATGAATGCATATACCATGTTCTGTTGATCCATTAATTTGTTTACAGACACTTCCATTGCTTCCCATCTCTGGGCTGTTGTGAATGTTGCCTCTTCGGATATGCCCATATAAGTCTTTTGTGGGAGGAGATATTTTTTGTGGGAGGAGATATTTTCATTTCTCTTGGATATATAAACCTCGGAGTAGAATTGCTGGGTCACAGAACTGTTTAATTCTTTAAAGCACTGCCAGATAGTTGCTGAACCATTTTACATTCCTACCAGCAGTTGCTAGAATGCCTTTTTGCTCTTTGGAGCTTGTGGCTCTGAGTTAAGAAGTTGGGGGATAGAGAGGCATTTAATGAGGGAGGGTTTTCAAGACCCATAAAACTGACCCAGGGTAAAGAGTCTCCCTCGGGCAGCTCTGTTTAGCTCTCTCCTGAGCAGGCCTCTCTGCTTCTCTATCAGCCTTGCCCTCTGACGGCTCTGAGCTCAGTGGAGCGAGCAGCTTGCTGGGTTGACCCAGGGGCTCAGCAGCCAGAGCAACTATTGCTTTAGAGGTCTGGCACTTCTGTTGATTAATTCTTCAGCTTCCTACACCTCTGACCCTCACCTGACTTCCCAGCAGTGAGGACCCCAGTGCCTTGCTCACAGGACTGTGGTGATGTAGCAGGGGGCCTGCGTGCAGTTACTCCCAGCACGGACACTCACCTTCCTAAATGCTTCCTTACAGTAATTCTGATGACAACATGCTGAAAAACATTGAACTGTTTGATAAGCTGTCTCTGCGCTTTAATGGGAGGGTCCTATTCATAAAGGACGTCCTTGGGGATGAGATCTGCTGCTGGTCCTTTTACGGCCAGGGCCGCAAGATTGCCGAAGTCTGTTGTACCTCCATCGTCTACGCCACTGAGAAGAAGCAGACCAAGGTGAGAGCTTTGCAGGACTATTCTGAGCAGCTGCTCTGAATTACGTCAACTTCTCTTGCCACTTGAGCAAAGTACACATGTTGTTCGTTGCCATCAAGTCAGTTACAACTCGTGTTGACCCATGAACAGTAGAACCAAATATTGTGCCGCTTCACAACTCTTGGTGTGCTGGGGCCTGTTCTTGAGGCCACACTATCTGTCTTGAGCACCTCTTGTGGGGACTCGTCTTCAGCACAGTGAGATAGTATTCTGTTGTTCAGAGGATTTTCATTGATGACTAGCAGACCACTGAAACCTGGGTCCACCGTGGCTGACTCTCCTGGTGTTTGCAATGCTGGTGACAACATGTCAGCAACACCCAAGTCACCAGCATACAGCGCACAGACTCAAGCGGTGGAAAATAAAGAGGGAAGGCTTTCAAAGTACCCTCCTGGCCTCACAGTTGTATTGTTGTTGTTGTTGTTATGTGCTGTCGAGTCATTTGCGACTCATAGCGACCCTGTGTACAACAGCCGTAAACCCTGCTCTATCCTGTGCCAATCGCACTGCCTCTGACACACGCATCCCGATTACCCCAGTCACAGTCACTGAATCAATCCACCTCATAGAGGGTCTTCCCCTCCTGTGCTGTCCCTCCACTCTACCCAGCATGATGTCCCTCTCTAAAGACCTGTCTCTCCTTACAACATGTCCAGAGTATGTCAGACGAAGCCCCAGAATCCTTGCCTCCAAGGAGTAGCCTGGTTTAGCCCTCTGTAGGATGAATCTGTTTGTTTTCTTGGCAGTCCATGGTACATTCAGTACTCTTCTCCAGCACCACAGCTCAAAGGCGTCAATTCTCCTTCTATCCTCCCTAGTCATTGTCCAACTCTCTGATGCGTAACAAGTGATTGCAAAAACTATGGCCTGTATCAGGCGGACCTTAGTCTCCAGAGAGACACCGTTGCTCTTGAGTACTTTAGAGAGGTCCCTAACAGCAGACTTTCCCATCGCAATACGTTTTTTGATTTCCTGGCTGCTGGTGCCGAGAGTGTTGACTGTGGAGCCAAGCAAACTGAAGCTGTGAACAATCTCAATCTCTTCGCCATCCATCCTGATGCTACCGATTGGTCCAGTGGTGAGAATCTTTGTCTTCTTGACATTGAGCCTCAGTCCAGACTGAAGGCTGCAGTCCTTGACCCTTCGCAGCAAGTGCATGAGGTCCTCCTCAGTTTCAGTGAGCAGGGTTGTGTCATCTGCATAACTCAGATTGTTAATAGATCTTCCAACAATCCTGATGCCACAATTCTCCTCATAGAGCCCAACCTCTCGGATAATCTGCTCTGCATACAGGTTGAAAAGGTATGGAGATAGGACACATCCCTGGCGCACACCCTTCCCGATTTTGAACCATGCAGTGTTGCTCCGCTCTGTTCTGACTGCTGCCTCTTGGTCCAAGTATAGGTTTCGCATTAGCACGATTAAATGTTCTGGGATTCCCATTCTTCTCAGAGTCAGCCACAGTTTGTTATGATCCACACAGTCAAATGCCTTTGCATAATCAATGAAACACAGATAGACATTCTTCTGGTATTCTCTGCTTTCAGCTAAGATCCATCTAATATCAGCTACAATATCCCTAGTACCTCGACCCCTTCTAAACCCAGCCTGGACTTCTGGCAGTTCTCTGCTGATGTACTTGTTCCAGTCATTTTTGGGTAATATTCAGTAGAATCTTGCTTGCATGTGAAATCAATGAGATTGTTCTGTAGTTTCCACACTCAGTTGTATTAACACACAATTGTATTACTTTGTCATTATTGTACTCATTCTCTTTTGAGTCCTCGAAAGATCCAGATGGTGTTCGTAAAGAAACAGAATGCTGTTTCCTTTCTTGTGTTAAGTACAAAGTCACACTCTTCACTGAGTTCATTTGCCAGAGATAGTGATTCAGATGCTGTGTCCTTTTGCCATGTGTACTCACCGCCCACATTCTCCATCCACATTCTCCATCCATCATCGTTCTGACACTTCTTGTGCTGTGTTTTGCCCACTTCTGCTCGGCACTTACTTCCTGCATTGGTCCACCTGGACTCCTTCATTAGAGGAACAGCGACTGAGGTCTCGGTTCTGACTGGAGTTATGACTGAGTGGCTCGCCATCTGTCTTCCCTTCTTTCACCCCTGACTGGGAGCTGCCCGCCACCTCACTAGGCACTGTAAATATTCTTTATCTCCCAGTCATGTTGACTCCCTTCTGAGCACGCTGACTCCTTCACTGACCTGCACTCTGGGGTCCATCCATGCTGTCATCATCCTCTAAACCCAGTAGACTTGACCTCTACTGACTTCCACCACCGTGCTCTTCTGCAAAACTAGATTCCCAGACATCTGCGCTGTGCCACACAGTGCTGCTTGGGGCCTGGGCCTCTGTTTACTGACATTTGCTTCCTTTAGGTCTTCACCCTCCTTACGCTCCTTTGGCCATCAGTGGCGTGGGTGTGGGGGTATTTGTTTTTATACCACATGCTCTGTCCTGTCCTTCTCAGCCTGTGTCAGAAAATCTGATTGTCAGGGTCCTGTACTGGGTCTTCCACACACAGATTGCCATGACAACAAGTCACCTAAGGTGACAGCAGCTCTGGGGGACCCAGTTCTTTGTAACTCTGGAGGCTGGCCCCAGTAGCAAAAGAGGAAACCAGAGACGTCAAAGTAGAAGCTAGAGTCTCTGACTTTAGAAAGAGAACTGATGCCTTTGAGCTGTGGTGCTGGAGAAGTGTATTGAATTTACCATGGACTGCTAGGAGAACAGGTTTGCCCTGGAGAGGGTAAAGCCAGACTGCTCCTTAGAGACAAGGATTCTGCGGTTTCGTCTGACATACTTTGGGCATATTGCAAGAAGGAGCCAGTCCTTGGAGAGGGACATCACGCTGGGGAGTGTGAAGGGTCAGCACAAGAGAGGAAGACCCTGGATGAGATGGATTGACTCAATGACTGGGGTAATGGGGGTAGGTGTGTCAGAGACAGTAAGATTGGCACAGGATAGAGCAGATTTCAAGGCTATTGTATATATGGTCGCTATAAGTCGCAGGTGACTCAGCGGCACATAACAACTAAAAATGAAAATCATACAGAGCAGAGACGTACATTCGTCTCCCAATGACATCATTGTCAGGTCCTATGAGCTGCTGTAAGGTGCCATAATGGTCTCATGTGCAACAGCATGGGGCCCTGCCCAGTCCTGGGTGGTCCTAATAATTGTTGCTGTGTTTGAGCCCATCATTGCACCCTTTAAGGGTCTTCTTCTGCCCCCTACTTTACTATGACCTCCATGCTATGCCTCTCCTGACGGCATGTCCCCAAAATATTTGAGATGAAGTCTTGCCAGCCTCACTTCTGTTGAACATTCTTGTTCTTCTTCTTTTTCTTCTGAGGAAGATTTGTGCTCCTGGCAGTCCATGGTGTATTCTGTATCCTCTTCCAACCCCATTTCCTTTTAGTTGTCTTTGTGTCCAACCTTAAACCTGCATATGAGGTGATTAAGGGAGAGACTAGACCTCTAACCTCCCTTCCCTGTGCTTTATGGGAACATAGGTTGAGTTCCCTGAGGCCCGGATTTATGAGGAGACGCTGAATATCCTGCTGTATGAGTCACAGGACGGCCGGGGACCTGACAACGCGCTCCTGGAAGCCACAGGTGGGGCCGCCGGGCGCTCCCACCATCTGGACGAAGATGAGGAGCGAGAACGAGAGCGGATCGAACGCGTGCGGCGGATCCACATCAAGCGGCCGGATGACCGCACTCACCTCCACCAGTGAGAGGCGTCCAGGGCCAGGCTCTCGCCCTCCAGCCCCACCGCTGGCTGCACTTTGCCTCCTCCGTCCTCCATGGCTCCCAGTACCGCCTCCTTCCCTGGACGGTTTTTTGTAACAAGTCAGATTATTATTATTATTTTGATCTCTTGACAAGTGTAATGATTCTCTTACCCCAGGTTAACACACCCTGTTGAACAAGCTGTAGCTTAGGTCTCTGGGTTCTCAGAGAAAAAGAATGAATGGATGTGAATTGTCTGTGAAAACCTAGATTTGCAGTATTTATTTTTGTGGGTGTTGACTACCTTTTGGACTTCTTGGGGCCTCCCCGAGGGGCTGGTGGTGTGGCTCTGAGAGGGGTAATCTGCAGACGGCCACCAGCAGGGTGTGAGCCCTCTAGTTAACAACTGTCAGTCCCAGGGCCCCAGCCCTGTGCACTGTGACACTCTCCACTGTTTTGCTACAACTTGATGGATAGTTGCGGCTGGTAGCAGTGGACATGTGACCAAACGAGTGTGCCTCTAAATTCCTTTTCTGCTGTTTGCTTCGGATGCTTAGATCTGTCACGGGGCGAGCCCGTCACCATCTCGGTTAATCTTTGATCCGGTGCTTGTGTGGATCCTGCACGTCTAGCTGGGGTGCAACTCTGTTACGGCTCCCCATTGTCCTGTCCCTCCAGGATACCGCCTGACCCAGTTACGAGGACCATACACTGCTGCTCCACAGGGGCCATGCCCCTCTTTCTTGCCTTTTCCCCTTTAGGCCAGGTGCACTGCGGCACAGGTGAGCCCTGCCCTTGGACGGGACTCCAGGGAGGGGTACCATTCATACCAGCCCCAGTGTTAACGCCTCTGGAGATTTCACTTGTCTGGGCCCCTTAGTCTTACAAGTATTGGTGACTGTAGTTAGCTGGTTGCAGAGGACGAGATACCTTTTGGTCCAATTAGTGGTTGTGTTAAGGAACGTGAGAGGGTGGTGTGTATGCCTGTTGATGGGTTGTGTGTGGCGCACCCAGGGCCCACACTGGAGCCACTGTCTGTGCTGCTCTGGCGTCAGACAGGTGCTCTGGTTACCTACCTCCCAGTCCCCTTTGCGCAGGGACAGAGCGAGCCGGGACTCACAGACGAGTGAGACTAGACTTAGGGCAATAGTTACAAGGAGCTGTGCATGTGTGCAAGGTAGTGGATGTATTCTGTGTGCTGCTCAAGGAATATGTTACCATTTTATACCAAAGGTATTAATAGGACAACCTTTGACACCAAGTTTTCCAGAAAAGTGAAGTTTCTATTTTGAAACAGTTTTTACCACTTAGACTTCAAAGTCTAAGAGACACAGTGTCCTCCCTGTGAGGGCTTCATGCCTTTATTTACTACCCAGCAGAAAACCTGCAATACAACTTTGAAACAATCATGACCGAACCCAAAACCCGTGTACATACTGGGTAAATGTGCTTTTTAAACTGTTGGGTGCAAATTTTTTCTACAAGGCCATTTGGGTTTCTTACATGTTAAAGAAAGGGGCTTACAAGACTTTCATAACTATTTTATACTGTTCCTTTTCATCACCAGCCCTGCCTTTTGGGTAGAGCTTTTAATGTGAATATCAGTTGTGATGATGTTTTTTTTGATAGGAATGGAAAAGCCATTGTATAAATTCTGCCTTGTAAATGTTGGTGTGAAGAGTTAAATTTGTGTAACTCGTGTGTGAGGCTTCTGTGCCTTCTGGCCGCACGCTCTGCCTTCGCTTCCTCCCCAGCTTTGTAGCTGTCCTTTAAAGCTGTGGCCTTCTGGGACTCTGATCAGGCCTCACGAGACATTCCATGGTGTGTGGGCACGTCACCCTGAGCTAGCTGGTGGGTCCAAACTCTGTCATCAGAGATGCTCTGTAAGGAACTGGTTGTTCTTAGGCTACACCAAGACACAAGTCAGAGTTTTTGGTTAAGAACCACCCAAGCTAAAGCACTGACCCTGAGACTTGGTAAAGAAAACAGTTTTATTTTATTGCAATAGTTTATAACTAATAATGGGATTGCAACAGTGTTGAAGGTCAGGCTTCTGTGAGTCACCTGAGCTTGGTGTGACCAGTATGCACGCTGCTGCTCTGGTAGCTGCTCCGATGGCAGCACTCTCCTCCCGCCCATTCCTAGCACATCCTAACCTAGAGTGTCACGAAGTCGCTGTAACATAGTTACACGTGTCATTAACCTTTCTGTCTCTTTGCACTTGAACACTGTTAAGTTTTAGAAGTATTCCCTGTCGGTTGTAAAAGCATTTGTGGAGATATGTAAAATAAATGTTGTATAAATGCTTCTGTTTAAACCTGTCTCGTGGATCTTTCCAGAAATGTTCAGCATAAACCTGAAGTCTGGTTCCCAGCACAGAGAGAGCCCCAAGTGTCTGCGTCACCACCTCCAAATGCTGAGAGTGAAAAAGAGGAGTCCGTTTTCTATGGTGTTCAAACTCAGTGCCTGAAGGGAAAGTGTGGAAATGCTGCCTGGCTTGTGAATAAGCAGTCAGCTGGCAGAAAATACCTCTGATCAAACAAGGGGGCTGGATCCTAAAGAATCTCTCAGAAATTTACCTCAATACACTAGGATTTCTGTGCTACGCTTATGTTATGCAAGATGCAAAGTTTGCAGCTTTAGGAAATTTCATTTACTCTTACAATGGACATGCATAAAATCTCCTTATGCCTCATTGGTAGCTTGACAAAAGTCTGTCGCCTACAGTGTAATGGCACATTGAAGTGACCACTGGGTGTCACTCTCCTTTGGTGAGGTTTAACCTCAGGTTGGCTTCCTAAAGGCTGGTGTTTTCAGGGTGCCACATGGTGGTGGAGAAGCTGGGGCTCGGCTCGGGCCTGTGCCTGGCTGCCTGGCTGGGAAGTACACGCGGCTACCCTGTTTCTTCAGATCCTTGTCCTAGAATTTCTGGAACCTTCCCTGGAAGGTGTGGCTAAATCCAGCAAACCCAGCTTCCTGGTTACTTTCCTCAGAACAAAAATGGCGACAGTAGAGGTTAGACATTCATCCTTCTATCAGGACTTCATCCGGACCGACACCTAGAGAGAATCCACACTCAGGTTGAGGGTCAGTTATCGCATACAAAGAAAGAAACCGTTATCAGAATCCCCAGTGTCAGGGTAGTGGGGCCAAGCCAGCCTCATCTCCTATGACACATAACATTAAGTGGTTCATTTCTGATTCACTGAAAGGTAAGAGACTGTAAGCAAAGTTCCTTGCACTCCCCTTTCAGAATTAACATTTTAATCTCTAGAGCTCATTCATTCCTGTTTTTTAGATGGAGGCTCAGAAGTAGAGTGACAAATGAGCTTGTCTTTGGGTCCAGTCAACCCTTAACTGAAACTTGCAGAATTTTAATCCATAGTCATTCCACAGCCAGTTAACTGCCTTTCCCCGGCCTAAAAAAAAGGTCACTCACCACTATTAACTGTCCGTGTTTATCTTTATAGATTTGTTCTTCTGATCCTGTTTTGAAAACTATTGTGCCTTCTTTTGCAGGACTAATATAAAACTGTAAGCTTAAAAGAAACCAAGTCAGAAATTACTTCCACAGTCTTCTCTATTTTTCCCCCCTCAGGCTTTGGTCTGCAAAAGCAATTCACCTAAAAAAACCCCAAAACCCCAATTCCGCTGCAAAGCTTCACTAGTTTCCTGATGCACATTCCTTGTTTATTGTCAAGCAATAATTGTATATATTTGAGCTGTCAGGAATACCACTCCCACAGCAGGAAGCTTACCTTGTGCTTCTGCAGTTCCTCTCAGATCCCTTGAGCAGAGTCTGTTTTCCCAGGAGCCTACTTGGTGTCTGAAGAGGCACCTACACACCTCCGTGCTGACCCACTGACTGAACAGCTCAGTAGTCTCAGGTGTAGTGAAGCAGAAGCAACACTCCACAATGTGCCCAACACACCCCTCGTTCTACATCTTAATCTACTCTAGAATCTCAGAGCCTCACGGGAGCAGCTGAACTCAAAAGGAGCTGACTTCCCAGGAGCAGCCTGTGCCAGCAGGAGCCCGGAGCACAGTGCTGTGCGCGACGGCAAGAGTGCCAGAACTGAGCATGGACCCTGGCCACCACCTCACTCTGTGCCACTGGGCCCAATCATTACTGGGCCTCACTCTCCACGACTTGTTGAAAGCCTGAAAAGTGGCACAGGGTTTAAGCACTTGGCTGCTAACCACGAGGCTAAACTCTGCAGGAAGTCTGCTGCCATAAAGATGACAGCCTCAGAATCACCATGAGGCAGCTCTCCACTTGTTAGGATTCACCCAGTGGCCGCTGATGTGAGTTTTTGTGAGCTAAGCATTTTTTCTTCTTGGCCCCAATCAACTGCAAGGGGCCTGTACACTGAGGCCCAGTGTGCTCAGCCATGGCTGTTTTGAAAACCATGGGTCAGCTTACACTGTTTAATTAGTCAGTGAATAATCATAAACATTCATCATTTTTCTGGTGCCCAGGATCAGAGGGGATGAGAAAGAGAGATTCCTCCATCGAGGTGATCCTTAGTCATGGTGACCCTGTGTGTCAGGAGACTGTCCTCTGTGGCACTTTCAAAGGCCATGACCTACAAGCAGGTTGCCAGGCCTGTCTTTCGCAGCACCTCTCAGTGGTTTCCAGCTGCCCATCCTTTGATTGGCAGCCCAGTGCTTAATCCTGTGCCCCCTTGGGAACTCCTGGTGGTGGATTGTGCTTGCATATTTTGGAGAGGACAAGAGAAGATGGGGTGAAGGACTATCACCAGTGCCTTTCTGGATTCAGTTCTTACACAACAGCACCTACCTCCCTTGAACCACACGCACTATGTTCTCCCTCTTAGCCAGCATGGCCAGCTTAGTCACCGCTTCAAACACATGCTCACATTCTAGGATGGCATCTCCCTGAAGTGAAGAGAAAGAAGGGATGGTGTATGTTTGGTGTCATTGCTTTCAAGCAAAAGGCTCTCACATCAGGGTTTTGAGGTGCTTAACGTATGACAAGAATACTGTTCCCTCTGCTGATGGAGCCTGGTGGCAGGCCAGCCACTTACCTTTTGCCTGTAATCGTTTGGAGATATGTGAATCACGAAGAACCCATCGCACAGATTGCTGGTAGAGACACCTGAAGGCAGATCCACAGTTAGGAGCTTGGAAGTGGAAGCAGTGCATAAATACAGAGAAAGAGGAAAACACAGAGAGACCTGGAGAAATGGAAGAATACACCTTGCTCATGGATAGGAAGATTCAATATTGTGAAAATGACAATGCTACCAAAGGCAATCTATACGTTCAGGCCAATCCCAATACAAATTCCAATTCCATTCTTCAACGAGATGGAAAAGGCAATCTCCAATTTCATTTGGAATGGAAAGAGACCCCTAATAAGCAAAGCACTCCTTAAAAAGAGAAAGTAGGAGTCATCTCACTCCCTGATTTCAAATCCAACTACACTGCCATGGTGGTCAAGATATCATGGTATTGGTACAATGACAGACACATAGAGCAATAGAATTGAGAACCCAGAAATCAGCCCGTCTACCTATGGTCAACTGATTTTTGACGAGGAGGCAAAATCAGTTAAGTGGGGAAACGTCAGCCTTTTTAACAAATGGTGTTGGCAAAATTGGAAAACCATCTGCAGAAAACTCAAGCAAGATCCACACCTCACACCACACACAAAGCCCAACTCAAAGTGGATCAAGGACCTAGGACTAAAATTAGAGAAAAACTTGGAAGAACCCTAGAAACACTAATCCACAACTTGAACAGTCAGTCTTCCAAGCATGCTGAAAAACCTACAACTAGGAGAGAATAAATAGATGAATGGGACCTTCTAAGAATCAAATCCCTATGCACATCCAAAAACTTCTCCAACAAGGTAAAAACGGAAGCCACAGACTGGGAAAAAATATTTGGTAATGACCTGTCTGATAAGGGACTTATATCTAGAATTTATCGAATACTCAAACGCCACAGGATAAACAACCCAGTTGCAAAATGGGCATAGGATATGAACAGACACTTCATTAATGAAGACATTCAGGTGGCTAACAAGCACATGAAGAAATGTTCAAAATCCCTAGCTCTAAGAGAGATGCAAATCAAAACAACTATGAGATATTATCTCACCCCAGTAAGAATA